TTTACAATTTGACACCAAAATGACAAGCATTTTTGACATTTTCTCATGATGAATGAGTTGTATGCCTGCAATCTTATGAGACCTATGTTAAGCTAAGTGTAGAAAAAGTACCAAATATATAAAGCACAAGAAAATGTAATTCTGTTGTATCACTTTTACTTTTGGCCTGTTTCCATGTTTGTCCGAATTACTGTTATCCGAGTTCAGCTATGATATTTGTCTAAAAAAATATGTGATTGTATTCAAAATCTGATCTTGCTCAATATGTTTTGAATGTTAGGTTCCAACCCAATTTTAAGAACAAACTTGCTTCAATAAATTCACTGATAAATTTGAAATAGTTTAGATTTCAGCCAAAGTCATAGAAAGTTCTCTGCTGCCATCCCCCCCCCCCAAAAAAAACCCCCACAGTTTTTTAATTGAAAATCCTTTTTGCTGAGTGAGTCCAGGATCCTTTATTTATTTTACCGAAAACAATCCTCTCTTCACCATGGTTCAGTGCTCCTGGGCAGCTTAACCCTTATAATATCTCTTTGGGGGAAACAGAAAAATCTATATTTGAACGTAAATTCCAGGCACAACACATAAATTTAAGTCCAGAGGTGCTTCAGGTGACCTGAAGAAAACTAGGCTGTGATGTAGCCGGCAATAGACATAAAAAAGACTGTCTAGACTTAAGCAAATACATTTCCTTAGGCTTAGGAGAAGGATAAGAATCTGTATCCCATCATCCTAGTTCATGGGTGGGAACTCATGGGCTGTAACCACAACTAAAAAAGTTTCCAGTGCCTGTCTTAGGTAGATAAAACATTATGTAATTAATTCTCAGCTCAATAGTGCTCCACTTCAGCTTGCTAAATTATTTGCTAGTAGACTAAAGAACAGTACAGATAGTCCTCAACTTACGACCAGAATTGAGGCCAAAATTTATGTTGCAAAGCGAGGCATTTGGTAAGCGAGTTTTGCCCCATTTTATGACCTTCCTTGCCACAGTTGTTAAGTGAATCACTGTAGTTGTTAAATTAGTAACACAGTTGTTACGTGAATCTGGTTTCCCTATTGACTTTACTTGTCAGAAGGTCACAAAAGGGGATCACGTGACTCTGGGATGCTGTAACCGTCGTAAATATGAGTCACATGCCAAATGTTCAAATTTTTATCACATGACCACGGGGATGCTGCAACAGTTGTAAGTGTGAAAAATGGTCATAAGTCACTTTTCAGGGCCATTGTAACTTTGAATGGTCATTAAACAAACTGTTGTAAGTCGAGGACTACCTGTACTATCTTTCTGTAGTATAAAAGCATATGTGCTATGCCTGTATTTCAACATTTAGCATTTGCAGGGCAGGGCAGAGAGAGCAGAGTTCCCCAGCCTTTTGGGGTTGACGGCTCAGAGCAGGGGAGGAGGGAAAGAAGGGATGGTTTTGTGGGAGGGGTAAATCCATGCATGCACACGAACAGCCGTTTCTCACATGAGTGGGGCTGTAAGCATCCGCAACCCTCACAGCAACACTTGGGGCTGTGCAAATGCACACTGGCCAGTCACTCACATGACCTGGTGCCCAATAGGCTGCGGCCCAGTAGTGGGCTGTGGCCCCACAGGTTGGAGACCCCTGTAGTAGAGGACCCACAACAAAATCATAAAGTTGTCAGGGCATGCCAACATGTTGTTTTTCATTATTTGTGCAGGGTGGGTTAGGTTGGAAGGTTTTCTGTGTTGATGTTACTACTCAGAATTGTATTAAAGATTCCATTGCATTTAAGTGTTTTTCACCTCATTGTAATATTAAATTGTACAATGGCACCATCAGAAAGGGATCAGAGGTAAACAAAAAGAGGTTGGGAGCAACTTTGGGGACACAGGTTATCTTTCCTATTCTAGGTAATAATACCACTCTTTCATCTAATTTTGGCCTAGTTGAATCAGGAGTCAGGTGACGTTACATAAGCAAGAAAGATTCTTCCCTGTGAACATTGATGGTTCTTTACAGCATCATTGATGCTGTAAAGAACATTGATGAAACCTTTACAGGTTTCTTGAAATAACTATGTCCTGCTAGACCACTAGAACAGGGGTCTTCAAACTTGGCCCTTTTATGACTTGTGGACTTCAACTTCCTCAGCCTGTGTGGCTGAGGAATTCTGGGAGTTGAAGTCCACAAGTCATAAAAGAGTCAAGTTTGAAGACCCCTGCACTAGAGGCTTTGAAATATTTAGAATAATTGGTTTGGTCAGGCCTTCTTTGGGACTAGCTAGGTTAACCAGATGCATAGGAGAGAAAGTTCCTATGCTTCTTGTAGCTGTATTAAAAGAAGGGGTTTTTTTGCAGATAGAACTAATCATGTCACACTGTAGCTTGAGTGAAAAAAAGGAATGTGTGCCAAACCTACACTTTACCAAATCATCAACCACTCTCTGTTGGCTTTGTGTAAGTTGAAGATTTATTGTGGGGCACTTCTAGGTATTCTAAAATTCCGATGAAACCAAGTGAAAGAATTAAATGTTCTCAAGAAAGAAAACAAATTACATTTATTGTGCAACAGACCCATTGACTCTCGGGGGAATGCTCCACAGTTCGTAATTAAATTTCCAGACTTTTTTTGGTAAAAACCAAATAAATAAATCAAAAGATTAAACAGTTAAATCTACAGTCAGGCCAGATTTAGGTCAGGGTGTACACCCTAGCAGAGCCCACAGTGTGAATAACCTGTGATAGGATCAGAATAGGCTGAGCATGGCCTCTCAGCTGCCTTCAATACCATCAATCATAATATCCTTCCCGACTACCACTGAGGACTGGGAGAGGTGAAACAGGTAATGCAACTCTCATAAATACATGCCAGTTACCAATGCCTGAATTCTGATCACATGACCACGGTCGTAAGTGTGAAAACCAATAATAAGACAGTTTTCTCAGTTCCATTGCAACTTCAAAGGTCACTAAATGAATGGTTGTATGTCAAGGACTATCTATACAATGGTTCTCCTTCCTCCATTTTCAGTCAGTAATTTTGAAGTGGTCAAAGGGTGGGTTTGAGACTCTCCACCTCATGCTTCTATTCCTTCACCCTTCTATTTAACATGTAATTAAGCTACTTTAAAGGATCATCCACCAGCACAGGGCTAGGTGTGTGTGTGTGGTGTGTTGTGTTGTGTGTGTAGAAAAGCCAGTTATATATGTTGACTGGATTGAACAGGAGATGTAATTAAAGTGCTATTGTTTTATTAAAGGAAGGGTTATTCCTGGGTGTGGAAGTTACTATATTATTTGTTGTATTATGTTACAGGTGATCTAACTTTGGTGTATTGGTTAAGGCAGTGATGGTGAACCTTTTAGAGACCAAGTGCCCAAAAACCGCTCCGCTCCGCCTGCCTGCAGGGCCACCCACTACCTCCATGGCCTGCCGCAGATCACCCAGGCAGCCCAGCGGCGCCATGGCTGCCACACCCGCATCCTGCAGCATCATCTGTATGCAATGGGGCACGAGGGCGGAATCTTGTCCCGGCTGCCATGTCCTTGGCTGCGCTGCTCCGCACAGGCTGCGCCCAGGGGCGACTCTCCTCCGGGGGGGCTGCTGGTGAAGAGGGGGAGGCGGGGCTGGGGCAACAGCACGCGTGCCCACAGAGAGGGCTCTGAGTGCCGCCTCTGGCATACGTGCCATAGGTTTGCCACCACTGGGTTAAGGCATCATGCTAGAAACTGGAGACAATGAATTTGAGTCCTGCTCTCTCAGCTCTAGGAAGCAGGCAATGGCAAACCACTTTGAAAAATTTTACCAAGAAAAATTTTACCAAGAATTTGACTCAAAACAACAACAAAAAAATAATTACAACATTGCCATTTGTTATTTTTATTTCTTTTTCCTATCATATTGGAGTTTAGGCAACTTGGAATCCTCTGTAATAGAACACCGTATATGGGTAGTCCAGTGATGGGATTCAAATATGTGAACAACCGGTTCTCTGTGTGGATGCTGCTTCCAGAAGTTCATTCTGGGCCTGGGCAACAAAAAATTAGCTACCGGTTCTGCCAAAGTGGTGTGAACCGGCTGAATCCCACCACTGGGATAGTCCCTGACTTACAATCACAGTTGGGACCAGAATTTTGATCACTAAACAATGCAGTTGTTAAGATAATCACATGGTTATTAAATGAATCACCCAGTTGTTAAGTAAACCTGTCTTCTCCAATTGACTTTGTTTGTTGGAAACCAGCTGAGAAGGTCGCAATTTGTGATCATGTGACTGCAAGATGCTGCAATTATCATAAATGTGATCCAGTTGCGAAGAGCCTGAATTACGATCATATGGTCATAGGGGTGGTGTAAAAATCATAATTTTGAGGACAGATCATAGGTCACTTTTTCTGAAGCTTTTATAACTTAAAACCATTATTAAATGAGTGGTTGTAAATTGAGGACCGGTAAGTCTAACCAAATCTCATGAGCAGTAGCAGTAATTTTTTCTTAGTTATCATCATTTCCTAGATGAAGAGATATCCTTGTTTAAATTGTTTAATTTTGAACATAAGAGATCCATAAGGAGGGATGTTGTTGATGCCAACTGTAGACTGGAGGCTAAAAGATATAAGGAATGGTTGCTGGAATAAGGTATGTCTAGTTTAATGAAGAGAAGAACGAGGGGGGACATGATAGCAGTGTTCCAATATCTCAGGGGCTGCCAAAAAGAAGAGGGAGTCAAGCACCTGAAGGCAGGACAAGAAGCAATGGATGAAAACTAATCAAGGAGAGAAGCAAGCTAGAACTAAGGAGAAACTTCCTGACAGTTAGAACAATTAACCAGTGGAACAATCTGCCTCCAGAAGCGGTGAATGCTCCAATACTGGAAGTTTTTAAGAAGAGACTCGACAGCCATTTGTCTGAAATGATATAGGGTTTCCTGCCTGAGCTGGGGGTTGGACTAGATGACCAAGGCCCCCTCCAACTTTATGATTATTATTATTATTATTATTATTACATCTGCTTTGTCTATTACAGAATCACCTGACATTGGTCCATCTGTTGTTGTTCATACCACTGTGTCTTTTGGAACTGAACATTTGGAATGGGACAAAGAAAAGGTCCAGCAGTTGATTATAAATGAATTGAAAGCTGTGATGCCTCATTTGCCTGAACCAGCAAGTATCAAATGCCAGAAGTGGAGATATTCTCAGGTAATAACAGGTTACAATAGTAAATTTGTACTTGATCAGAAGTTGGACTAGATAATCTACTCTGTCCCTTCCAATGATTCTAAAATGTATAAATCAGTTACCAGCCAATTATACTTCATTCAGAGTAGGCAATTTTAATTTCCGCACATCTCAGTAACTGTTGAGAATAATGTATTAAATGCTTTGGAAGAGTAGTTGAAGGCTAATTCCTTCAGAATGAACTGGAAATTGTTATTGTGTCTTCATTAGTGTCTTGATAAAACAAGGGTGACCAACTATAAGCACAAAGCTCCTACAGTTGTATAAGAGAGGGACTCTCAGGAAATGTAGCATATTTAATTCATTTATACAATTCTTTGTTTTGTAATGTGTAGTTCCCAGGAGGCCTATGGCTAAAAAAGGTGGAATAGAAATTGAAATATTAAATAATTACTCAAAGAGTAACACATATCTGATATAATGGGATCAAAATAAGCCAAAGAGCAAACATTACTGTGCATTGGACTATGCATTGCCATAAGTGGAGCAGGATATAAGCATCAACAGAAAGTTTTCTTGAAAAAGTTGTCAAGAACACAATTGGGTGGCATAAAAGAACAGAGAACTTTCCAGTGTAAAGAATAAGTCTTTATTTTGAGATAGTTTTGAGCAATCAGTATTAATAAACATTATCTAACAGCATACTAAAATAAGAAGTATTAAATCATAGTCTAAAATCAAACTCTAAAGAGCAAGTAAAAATAGCAATAACAATAAAAGATTATCTTTAAACCTTGGGAACAAAAAACACCTAGAAGATAACAGTGTTAGCTGAAATAGAAAATAAAAAGAGTCTTGCAAAATCAAATCATTGCTTGTTCTCATACCAGCAGCCTATTTCCCACAATGACTATCAAGATGTCTTTGGGTAGAACACAAGCAATGGGTGAGGGCAATTCTAGTCTTCTGTTGTGTTTGTGATATTATATTGAAGCACATGACTTCTGACCCAGCAGCTAGTATATATCCATTTTTGCAAGTTGACATTGTTGGCTTTGTCTTCATGAATTTATACAATACCCTTTTAAAAGAATCCCACCTGATAATCATTGCCTCATTCTTTGGAAGCAACTTCAATATGCACTCTATGGAAATTGACTTTCTTATGTCTACTGTTCAACTTTGTAGAATAACTTTGTCTCTATTTCAGGGGGGGTCTTGAAAAATTGACTTCTGGTATGTCTTTTGAATGTCTCCTGTATTCATATTCCATTTGGCACTAATGGTACGGAAGGTGGTTATTTCCATTTCTCACATAGTAACTGTGTCAGGGACATTGTGGGAAATTAAAAAGATAGCTCTTACATTGAGAGACCAAAGCAAGTAGAGGTAGATCACAACCATTCACAGACATGGCAGTGATGAAAAAATAATTTTATGACCAATCTTGCATTATGGCTTCCCTACTCTGTAAAGCAAAGGAAAGCTGAAGTAAGATCATAAGTACAATCACAGTTTCACATAGCAGCCAATTTGCTTAACAACCAAGTTTCTGGTCCCAGTTGTGGTTGTTAAGCAAAGATTTCTTGTAACATTCCCATGGAGGTAGCATGATTTGAAGCTGGAGATTTGGGACCATCTAAAAAGAACAGAAGCTGCCACTGGGCCCACTAGAACCACCTGTCATTTTGCTCTGCTTCTTCTAGCAATTTTTCCACCTCCAATGTTCCACCTGGTTATTACCTTGCTTCATCCATGACGCAAGGTGTAATGGCCCTTTTACAATCTATGAACTTCAATTCTCAGAATTCCTGAGCCAGCCATGCTCAGGAATTCATGGTTGGCTCAGGAATTCTGGGAGTTGAAGTTCACAGATCATAAAAGGGCCATAGTTCCCCACTCCTGTCCTAGACTAACACCCTCTGGCAGCTGGAAGATATCAAGCATTCCAGTTGGGCTTCTTTGGGAGACTAAAGCCTAGCAAATTATCATTTAAATATTCCACATTTTTCTTCACTACATAACTTAAGGCAGGGGTCCCCAAACCCCAGGCCGTGGCCCACTACCAGGCTATGGCCTGTTTGGAACTGGGACGTGCAAGCAACTGGCCAGCACACAGGTGTACGCACGCAGCTCGACTTGTGTGAGCAACAGGCCGGTACGCACGCGCAGCTTGACTTCTGTGACTCACAGGCAGGTTCCCCTCTCCCCCCTCTCTGACCAGGCCACCAAGCTGTAAAAGTTGGGGACCTCTGACCTTGGGCATCTACATGTTTGAAATTCTAGATTCCCATTGGAACAAATCTAGTACCATCATCTTCTACCACTGCTTATAACTATAGTTGTGTTGGATCTATTGTTTTGGATTTGTTTGGTTCTTCCCTGACATAATTTCATTTTATTTATCTGTTGGGTTTATATTTTGCCTTTTCTCCAGAATTTGCAGTAGTTTACTTTCATTTTATTTTCACAACAAATTATGTTGGCCTATGACAGATGACCAGATCCAAAATCACTTTTGTGAGTCTCCAACGAGAAAATAATTTCTGCTGGCCTTGCTTCAATAACTCCGCCACAATGTTACTTGTACTCTCTCCATGATCAAAATGTTTTAAATTGCTGTAATGTGACCTGTCTTAGGCAAAATAATAAATCTATCAGCTGAATAGACAGAGAACTTGTGATGTCCATTCTGACTGGTGCCAAGTTGGAGTCCATTTTAATGTGTTGATATGAGGTTTTAAGTCCCTTGGCCTTTGCTCCATGATATATAACGGATTGATTTCTCTCTATAATGCCTATATGCAGCTATTCCTTGTAGACAGGCATCCTTTGGAGAATACCTGGGACAGGATAATGGTTTGTTATGGTCCTGAAGCTTGGAATATCTTTCCCAGACAAAGTATTTTAATTTTCAGAGATGTGCACACAAAAAGAACTTTTGTGCATGAATACTCTTGAGTGGAGAAGAGAGATTACTTTTGAGTGGGTGCTTTTTCAGTTGTTATGCTGTTTATCTGACTTCTATGTTTCTAATTATTGTATTTGATTATGGTTTACTGCCTTAGGGTGCTAGTAATGTAAAAGAGAGGATGTAAATGTGTTCAAAGACAAAAGAGATGAACCAAACTGCAGTGGATATCTTTGTCAAGCAACTTCACTGTTGCTGAAATGCAGCGGTTCTCAACCTGTGGGTCGCGACCCTTTTGGGGGGTCGAACGTCCATTTCACAGGGGTCGCCTAAGACCCTCGGAAAACACATATTTCCGATGGTCTTAGGAACCGAGACACCACTCCGCATCCGTCTCCGCACGGCCTCCTCCGCCATTTGCAGAGAGAGAGAGAAAGAGAGGCACTTTCGCTTCCCTTCTCTCTCTCTCTCTCTCTCAGGCGGACATACCTCCTGCAGGGCTCCTGATTGGCCCTGCGCCCGGGTGCCCCACCCCCTGGGAGAAGCACGGCCAGGGCCTCGTGGCCTTGGAGCCGCCCGGGGAAGCCCCGGGATCCCTGTTGGGAGCGGCCCACTGGCGGCTCCGCTGAGCAGGCCAGCCCTCCCGCAAGCCGCGGCCCAAGGGAGACCAGCCGCTGCAATCCCTAGCCAGCTCGACCATTGGACTCGGTGGCTAGGAAGGCCCACTGGAGTCCAGGCTGCCGGGAAGGAAGAAGGAGATTCAGCAAAGGTAGGAGAGGAGAGCCGCCTCCTGGGGCCCAGTGCTGGTGGCGGCTTCCTTGCCCTTCTCTTCCTCCTCCCCTTCTTCCTCCTGCTGCCCCCCAGGCGGCTCAGGCGGGCGCCGGGGCAAGAGGGGTGCCTGGGGGGGAGCAGCCAGGCTGGACGAGGGGCTGGCGGGCTGCATGGCACCAGCCCCCACCGCGGCTCCATCGGATGGGCAGAGGGTGAGGCCGGGCAGCGCGGGGGCAGCGGGGACCCCCGATGATGTAGCAGCGGCCGCCGCTGCCACCATCCCCGCACTGCCCAGCCTGGTCCTCCGTCCATCAATGGAGCCGCGGTGGGGGCTGGTGCCGTGCGGCCCGCCAGCCCCTCTGCCAGCCCGGCTGCTCCCCCCAGGCACCAGACTTCCTCCCGGCTCCCGCCCGAGCCGCTTTGGGGGCAGCAGGAGGAAGGAGAGGAGAATGGCGAGAAAACCGCTGCCGCCGCTGCCAGCTAAGCTGAGCTGCGGCGCCTAGCCGGTTTCCATGCCTCCTGGTTGCCCGGCCGCGCTCCACCCCCGGCCGCCCTCCGCACCGCGCGGGAGTCTCCCCCGCGCCGCCCGAGCCGCCTCCCTCACCGTCAAAGGCCGCCTCGGCCCTCTGGTGCCCGGTGCGGCCATGGGGCTGCCGGGCAGGAGCGGAAGCGGCCAGGGGGCGGGAAAGAGGGCGAGGCGGCGGCGATGCCCGCATGTGCGTCGGAGGCCAGCCAGCCAGGCCGGGAGGGGAGAAGCGGCGCCTTCCGAGCGGGAGCTGGCGCTCCAGCCGCACCCCTCTCGCGTGCGATGGGCTACACGGCGTAGAAAGGGGCTCCCGCGACCCCGCCGCTATGATGGCTGGAGGGGCGGGCAGGTCCCGGGGGGCGGCTGGGAGAGGGCAAGAGGTGCTGGGATGAGGATGGGGGGCTCCAGGTTGGGTGTGAGAGGGCGGCTGGCAGCTCCGAGGTGCGCAGATCCTCCGCGCAGCTTCCGAGGCCCCGGATGTGCTGCTGCTTGGCTCTCCACCAGGCTGTCCACCAGAGCCTCCCCCCCTCCCCGGGCAATTGTGCGGAGCTGCTTGTACGTACTTGGCAGCACCTCCCCCCTTCAATCTCCTTCCTTCTCCATCTCCTTCCTTTCCCCTTCAATCTTCCTTCCTTCCTTCCCTCCCTCCCAACATTTTTGAGCAAGGAAAAGTAAGCTTCTCTATCGAGCATTGCTATATTGTTTTTGTGATTAATCACTATGCTTTAATTATGTTCAATTCGTAACAATGAAAATACACCCTGCATATCAGATATTTACATTACGGTTCATAACAATAGTAAAATTACAGTT